TTTTTTTTTTTTTGAGACCGAGTCTTGCTGTCTTCTAGGCTGGAGTGCAGTGGTGCGATCTCAGCTCTCTGCAACTTCCACCTCCGGGGTTCCAGAGATGCTCCAGCTTCAGCTTCCTGAGTAGCAGGGATTACGGGTGCCCACCACCATGCCCAGCTAATTTTTTGTATTTTTAGTAGAGATGGGATTTCACCATGTTGGCCAAGCTGGTCTCGAACTCCGGACCTCAAGTGATCTGCCCACCTCGGCCTCTCAAAGAGCTGAGATTACAAGGCATGAGCCACTGCGCCTAGCCAAAAAGACGTTTAACTCAGCAATTCAATCTGTAGGTATATACACGATTATTCACAGCAGCATAATTCATAATAGTCAAAGAGGAGAAATAATCCAAATATTCATCAACTAATAAAAGATGGTATACCTGTATAGTAGAGTATTATTAGGCCATAAAAAATCTCCAAAGTACTAATACATGATGCTACATATATGAACCTTGAAAATATGATGAAGTGAAAAAAGGTAGACACAAAAGACCACATATTGTATGTTTCCATTTATCTGGAAATGTCCGGAATAGGCAAATCCAGAGATAGAAAGTGGGCTGCCGGGTTAGGGGAGCCAGGAATTGAGACTGGCTGCTAATGAGCGTGGGTTTCTTTTTGAGGTTAGGACAATGTTCAGAATTAGATAGTAATGATAGTTGTACAATCTCATGACTATAAAAGCCACTGAATTATACAGTTTAAAAGGGTAAATTTAGGCTGAGCATGACAAGGAGACTCTGTCTCAAAAAAAAAAAAAAAAAAAAAAAAGTGCAGGGTGAATGTTATGGCACATGAATTGTATCTAAAGATCACAGTGTAAGGCTGGGCGCGGTGGCTCAAGCCTGTAATCCCAGCACTTTGGGAGGCCGAGGCAGGTGGATCACGAGGTCAAGAGATCGAGACCATCCTGGTCAACATGGTGAAACCCCGTCTCTACTAAACTACAAAAAAAAATTAGCTGGGCATGGTGGTGCGTGCCTGCAATCCCAGCTACTCAGGAGGCTGAGGCAGGAGAATTGCCTGAACCCAGGAGGCGGAGGCTGCGGTGAGCCGAGATCGCGCCATTGCACTCCAGCCTGGGTAACATGAGTGAAACTCCGTCTCAAAAAAAAAAAGATCACAGTGTAACTCAGTTTCTTCACAGGTGCCTATAGACCCGGGCAGCTATCTACACCCTTCACACTGAGTGATGTGTTTCGTCGCGTACACTCCAGTACTTCCTGCAGAGTCTAGAGGAACTGTGAGCACTGCTACACAGGAATGGAATGTATCCTAACTTGAACGCATCCTGGGTTAACAGCCTGCCCATTCCTGGGACAGGTCCCGGCCTGACTGCTCCATCCCTGGACGCTGGAGCTCTGTTAACACACGGGACCCCAGGGCCTGCCTTTCTGGTGCTCCCAGTGTGGCGACCCTCTCAGGGCTCACCCACACACACGAGACCTAGAAAGGCCACAGGACAGGACCCACAGCCTGTTACAGGGAGTAGCAGGGCTCACCTGAAGTAGGGTCCCCAGAGCAGCCCAGGGGCCAGTCTCACGCTCCCAGCTATGGCTCAGGGACCAGGGAATGAAACCACAGCCAGGGTGGTGGGTGCAGGAGGAGCACTCTGGCTTAGAAGCCCCAGTCCCTGAACAGGAGCTGAGGTGTCTTGTAAGAGTGCTAGGCTCTGGCCTCGGGGCACCTGCATCTCCAGCACTTCCCACGCAGAGGCGCAGGGGCCATGCTCAGCCCCTACCCAGGGTGCTCTCTACTTGCCTCCCCTGCAGACTACCTCCCCCTGCAGGCGCCACCTCCACCTCCAGGGGAGAGCAGGCCACCTGGTGGCTTAGCTGCTGCTGCTGCTCCAGCCCACAGGGGAGCTGGCAAGGCGGCCACAGGCATGAGTCCACAGAGGGGAAGGGTGTCTCGCAAATCCTTTATTCATACAGACAGAAATGAACAGACGGCACGGCACAAGCATGGCTGTCCTCTGGCCACACAGCAGAGGACAAGAGCTAGGCCTCTGGCCTCTCAGCCAGGCCTAGTGCCACGGGAATGAAGAGCAGTTTAACTCTACAGCCCCCTGCTCTGCTTTTCACCTCAGTTCTGCCATTTCCTATGTACTCTGGGGCTACTTAGTTTGCTTCTGTGCCTCAGTTTACTCAACTGTGTAAGGGAGATGGCGGTAGCGCCTCCATCCATGGTTTTGTGTCCCATGGTTTCAGTTGCCTGAAGTCAAGTGGGGTCTGAAAATATTAAATGGAAAATTCCAGAAATGAACAATTCATAGGTTTTGAACTGCACACTGTTCTGAGTAGCGTGATGAAATCTCCCAACGTCCTGCTCCGACCTGCCCAGGAGGTGACACCTCCCTTTGTCCAGCACATCCACGGTGTAGATGCTCCCCACCCGTCAGTCACCAGCAGCCATCTCGGTGATCAGATCCACTGTTGCAGTACCACAGCACTTGTGTCTAAGTAACCCTTGTTGACTTGGTAATGGTCACAAAGCACAAGATTAGAGATGCTGGCATATTGTTATACTTGTTCTATTTTGTTTGTTCGTTTTTGAGATGAAGTCTCACTCACCCTGTCAGCCAGGCTGGAGTACAATGGCGTGATCTCAGCTCACTGCAACCTCCGCCTCCTGGGTTGAAATGATTCTCCTGCCCCAGCCTCCTGAATAGCTGGGATTACAGGTGCCTGGTACCACACCCGGCTATTTCACCATGTTGGCCAGCCTGATCTGGAACTCCTGACCTCATGTGATCCACCCGGCCTCCCAAAGTGCTAGGATTAGAGGCGTGAGCCACTGTGGCTGGCCATTATGCTGTACTTCTCAATTTTTGTTTTTTTGGCTGGGCGTGGTGGCTCACACCTGTAATCCCGGCACTTTGGGAGGCTGAGGTGGGAGGATCATCTGAGGTCAGGAGTATTTATGTATCCCGCATATTTATGAGGCACGCACTCAGTTTTCAGTAAGCGTGGTGAATTAGGGGTTCTGCCTCTTTCCCTGGACTTAGCGGCATGCTTGGTAGCAAGCCGCAGTGCTGCAGTGTGGACATTATGGTGCTTCTGCTGCCTGCTGAGCCTCGGCCTGGGGGTGTCTGAGCCAAGTGCAAGGAGACCTGTCCTGACCTGATGCCTGTGTCAATGGAGTCAGATGGCAGCAACTGCTGCCCCTGCCTGCAGGGTGCTCCCGTGGTCACCCTAACAGCAGCGACCACAAGCAAGCCCTTCAGTGTCAGTCCCTCCCGTCCTGCCACACTGATGGAGCACTGCCTGGGCTCAAGTGATCCGCCTCCGAAAGTAGTGGGATTACAGGTGTTTGAGCCACCAAGCCTGGCTCTCCCACATGAATTCTTACACATGGTTCACGACCATCATTTTCCTGCTTCCTGGCATATGTGTAATATGTGTAGCTAAATCCTAGGAAAGGGGCTGAGGATTTTATACTGCCATGCACCATTGATGTAACTGCACCAGCACTGAGTCTCATGACTGAAAACATTCCCCCATCTTGATGGCACCTTCCCCCCACTGCATAAACACTCTGGGAATTAAATACATTAGAGGAATCCTCCCACAACACTGCCTGCCTTACAAATGAGATTTAATTTTGGGACTGGTAGAACTGAAATCACAGTATTCTGCTGTTTGTACTTCAAATTAAATCACGCATTTTTCTGCACTGCTGCAGAATATCCCAGTTAAAGCCAATGAGTGGGCAGGCCACCACAGCCTTATCTGTTCAGCTAGTACTGGACATTTTGATTCTTTCCATTCTTCTGCAATGAAAGATCTCACTGCGAGGAACATACAGCTGAACTCTTCCCATGTCTTGCCACATTGGTTTTTTTTTTTTTTTTTTTTTTTGAGACAGGGTCTGTCACTGAGGCTGGAGTACAGTGACATAATCTTGGCTCACTGGAGCCTCCACCTCCTGAGCTCAAGCAATCCTTCCACCTCAACCTCCCGAGTAGCTGGGACTACAGACATGTACTGCCACACTTGGCTAATTTTCATATTTATTTATTTATCTATTTATTTACTTATTTTGAGTCAGAGTCTCGCACTGTCGCCCAGGCAGTGGTGCAGTGGCGCAATCTTGGCTCACTACAATCTCCACCTCTTGGGTTCAAGAAGTTCTCCTGCCTCAGCCTCCAAAGTAGCTGGGACTACAGGTGTGCACTGCCACGCCCAGCTAATTTTTTTGTATTTTTAGTAGAGACAGGGTTTCACCATGTTGGCCCAGATGGTCTTGATCTCCTGACCTCGTGATCTGCCTGCCTTGCCCTCCCAAACTGCTGGGATTACAGGCATGAGCCACCGCGCCTGGCCATTATTTTTATTTTTAAATTTTTTATAGACACAGGGTTTCACCATGTTGCCCAGGCTGGTCTCAAACCCCTGGGCTCAAGTGATTGGCCCACCTCGGCCTCCAAAGGTGGTGAAATTACAGGTGTGTGCCATCAAGCCTGGCTCTCTACATGAATTCTTACACATGGTTCACGACCATCATTTTCCTGCTTCCTGGCATACGTGTAATATGTGTAGCTAAATCCTAGGAAAGGGGCTGAGGATTTTATACTGCCATGCACCATTGATGTAACTCCACCAGCACTGAGTCTCATGACTGAAAACATTCCCTTACAAATTCAGTAAGCATGAAATAATGACTTCTTATTAAATATGCCCTGTGGGCCAGGCACAGTGGCTCACTCCTATAATCCCACCACTTTGGAAGCGGATCACTTGAGGTCAAGAGTTTGAGACCAGCCTGGTCAACATGGCAAAACTCCATGACTACCAAAAGCACACACACAAAAATTAACCAGGCATGGTGGTGGGTGCCTGTAATCCCAGCTACTTGGGAGGCTGAGGCAGGAGAATCGCTGGAACCCGGGAGGCAGAGACTGCAGTGGGCCAAGATTATGCCACTAAACTTCAGCCTGGGTAACAGAGCGAGACTCCATCTCAAAAAAATAAACAAATATGTCTTGTAAAATTTAGAGTTTGAGCAATTTTTTCTTCTTGTAGTCACACTATTGCCTATAAATGTGTGTTATTTCTGTAAAGTCGTGGCTGCTTTTCCTGAAGTCCAAATTGCCCGTGTCGTCTTTGCTGCCAGCACTTGCCCTTCCTCGAATTTCCGGACAGTGATCCCTGTGTCTGCCCAGCCCTCTGATTCTTTGCCAGTAGGCCTGCTCTTCTGTCCCCTTCCACCCGTCTCCATGGCAGCAGCCAGGCTCTCTGCACAAGCCCCACCTCTGCCTCAGCTAATCCGGCACCTCCCAACTGGGCTGGAGCCAGCCTGGAGAGGCAGCCTCCTCAGCTGCTTCCTTGAATTTAGGAGGGATAAACAAGGAGGCAGAGAAAGCCAGGTTGTAGCATGAGAAGGGTAAAGCAGTGGCCTAGGAGAAAAGTTTAAACATGAGGAGGAAGAAATTGCTCTGGTCCCAGCATCTGAGCACAGGCCATAACTGGGGCCAGCTCCACCCACCCGAGTACTGAGCCACCTCCATATCTGCTCAGCAAATTCTCCTGCCCAGAAAGCGGGATCAAAAGGAGTCTTAACTAACACAGGCATTTTCAGCTTTTATGTTCTTGACTATCTCTATCTTCACTCTCAAGCTCAGGAGGGTACCATTCATCCAGATAATGGAGAGTCTGTTATATCCTATAAAAAGCTCTACCCCGCTGGGGGGGGTGGCTCACGCCTGTAATCCCAGCACTTTGGGAGGCCGAGGCAGGTGGATCATGAGGTCAAGAGATCGAGACCATCCTGGTCAACATGGTGAAACCCCGTCTCTAATAAAAATACAAAAAATTAGCTGGGCATGGTGGTGCGTGCCTGTAATCCCAGCTACTCAGGAGGCTGAGGCAGGAGAATTGCCTGAACCCAGGAGGCAGAGGTTGCAGTGGGCTGAGATCATGCCATTGCACTCCAGCCTGGGTAACAAGAGCAAAACTCAGTCTCAAAAGAAAAAAAAAAAAATACCCCTAGGAACCATGTATCTAACTCTTTAATACACAAATAATCAACTTTTTAAAAAATTTTTTATTTTTTCTCTTTTTTTTCCTCATCTTGGAGGTGTCTTCGACTTTGCAATAATCAACTTTTAATAATTAACTTTTTGGCCAGGCATGGTGGCTCATACTTGTAATCCCAGCACTTTGGGAGGCCGAGGTGGGTGGATTGCTTGAGCTCAGGAGTTTGAGACCAGTCTGGGCAACATGGCAAAGCTCCATCTCTACAAAATACACAAAAATTAGCCAGGTGTGGTGGCATGCGCCTCTAGTCCCAGCTACTCGGGAGGCTGAGGTGGGAGGATCGCTTGAGCCCAGGAGGTCAAGTCTACAGTGAGCCATGATGGTGCCATTATATTCCAGCCTGGGAGACAGGGGGAGACCTGTCTCAAAAAAAAAATTAATAATAATTAACATTTGATCCCTTGGAATACATTTGTATTTTAGGGAGAAATAATCTAAATTTGTTCTTTTGGGCCAAAAGTAATTAGCTTTTCCAACATCATGTATTCAACAAAGCTCCCCTTCTCTTGGCTCTTGGGGACCTCTATCCTCGCACGTTGGTGCAACTGTGTACAATACGTGTGCTCTGGCAGACATGCTGGCTGCCCCACTCCCATTGCAGGCACTGTGGCCTGCTAACTATTTCAACAGCTGCTGGAGCAGGCAGCTCCCTTCATGATTCCCTTCCTTAATACACCCAGTCCTATTAGCAAATTTACTTTAAAATCTCATTTAAGGCCAGCCTTTCAATACTCAGTAAAGCCATCAGTAGGATTCCAGGATGTTAGGAAGAATCAAAACAACTTCTTCCATCTGTTAGAAGAGTGGCTGTCTCCAAAGCACCTCCAAGGCATGAGCTGACCTAGTCCCACCTGACACAATGACAGACCTACGGACATGGCACATATGCGCGCGCGCCACACACACACACACACACACACACACACACACACACACACACACACACACACACACACACACACACACACACACGCCAGGTCAGCACAGGATGTGCTGACAGCCATGGGCGCAGTGAGGCCAGCAAGCACATCTGACTCCCGAGGTGAGAATCCAGGCCACGCTACGTTCTCACTGTGTGACTCTGGTGAAGCCTCAGGTTGCTCACCTGTAAAACGGTAAAGGTAACAGTACCGACTTCATTGGGTCACTGTGGGAAACAAAACAGGTAATATACGCACAGGACTTGCGCAGTGCTCAGCCCAGACTGTGAGCTTTCATTCTCATGCTTACTGTTAGGATGCAGCGCCTGCTCCAGCTCTGCCCTGCAGGAGCCCACCTCTCCAGGGCCCGGGCAGCAGCCAGCAAACAGGAACAGAGGTCCTGACATGGGGGTGCCTCGAGCTCCCAGCCCTTTCCTCTAAATGAATCAGGCAAGAAAAAGGATTAGTAGGAATGGCACTTTAGCCCAATGACAGACTTGGCTTTTGGGGTGAATGATTTTGGATTTTCTATCAGAATTTGGCAGCAGACATCTAACAAACAGCATGAGATGTTATTCAGATCTAGCACTGACACCAAGAGAAAATAATGAAAGGCTCTTTTGAGCACTGAGCTGAGATCAGGAATCAGAAGAGAAGCTGGTTTGGAGAGGCAGAAGCTGCAAAGGCTGAGACCTCAGGGCCGAAGTCAAATGTCAGAGGCTGGTCATCCATCATAACCACCTAACATCCTCAAAGGAGAGGGAGTTGAAGATTGGAGAGCCATGCTTGTGAACTGAGAACCTGGAAAGGGAGGGTTCGAAGCCAGCCTCGGGCTGCAGAGACGGCTTTGAAAGGCCACGCAGGTGGACAGGGGTGTGCCAATCCCTGCCCCAAAGCAGGCTAAGAACTGCCCTGAACGTCGCCCTTCTCTCACCACCCTTCCTTCACCTTCTCATGGACTTGCTCAAACCCAAACAAAGAAAACAAAAACAAACAAACAAATGCACTAACCAGATTCGGTTCTCAGGGCCAGGCCTTTAGTTTTTAGTCTTGAGTGAATAAATTCTTCTTTTTCCTTAAAAAAAAAAAAAAAAAAAAAGAGAGAGATACGTTCGTCAGTTTGCTCCTTTCTGCCTGTGGTCGCCTCAGCGATCATGTCTAAGTCAGAGTCTCCTAAAGAGCCGGAACAGCTGAGGAAGCTCTTCATTGGAGGGTTGAGCTTTGAAACAACCAAGGAGAGCCTGAGGAGCCATTTTGAGCAATGGGGAATGCTCACAGACGGTGTGGTAATGAGAGAGCCAAACACCAAGCGCTCCAGGGGCTTTGGGTTCATCACGTATGCAACCTTGGCGGAGGTGGATGCAGCCATAAATGCAAGGCCACATAAAGTGGATGGAAGAGTTGTGGAACCAAAGAGAGCTGTCTCAAGAGAAGATTCTCAAAGACCAGGTGCCCACTTACTATGAAAAAAAGATTCGTTGGTAGCATTAAAGAAGACACTGAAGAACATCACCTAAGAGATTATTTTGAACAGTATGGAAAAATTGAAGTAATTGAAATCCTAACTGACAGAGGCAGTGGCAAGAAAAGGGGCTTTGCCTTTGTAACCTTTGATGACCATGACTCCGTGGATAAGACTGTCATTCAGAAATACCACACTGTGAATGGCCACGGCTGTGAAGTTAGAAAAGCCCTGTAAAGCAAGAGCTGGCAGTGCTTCATCCAGCCACAGAGGTCCACGTGGTTCTGGAAACTTTGGTGCTGACCACGGAGGTGGTTTCTGCGGGAATGACAACTTTGGTTGTGGAGGAAACTTCAGTGGTCATGGTGGCTTTGGTGGCAGCTGTGGTGGTGGTGGATATGGTGGCAGTGGGGATGGCTATAATGGATTTGGTAATGATGGAAGCAATTTTGGAGGTGGTGGAAGCTACAATGATTTTGGCAATTACAACAATCAGTCTTCAAATTTTGGGCCCATGAAGGGAGGAAACTTTGGAGGCAGAAGCTCTGGCCCCTGTGATGGTGGCAGCCAATACTTTGCCAAGCCACGAAACCAAGGTGGCTATGGCAGCTCCAGTAGCAGCAGTAGCTATGGCAGTGGCAGAAGATTTTAACTAGGAAACAAAGCTTAGCAGGAGAGGACAGCCAGAGGAGTGACAGGGAAGCTACAGGTTACAGCAGATTTGTGCACTCAGCCAAGCACAGTGGTGGCAGGTCCCAGCTGCTACAAAGAAGACATGACTTAGACAAATACTCATGTGTATGGGCAAAAACTCGAGGACTGTGTTTGTGACTAATTGTATAACAGGTTATTTTAGTTTCTGTTCTGTGGAAAGTTTTCCAACAAAGGGTTTTAATGTAGATTTTTCTTTTTTGCACCCATACTGTTGATTGCTAAATGTAATAGTCTGATCGTGATGCTGAATAAATGTCTTTTTTTTTAATGTGCTGTGTAAAGTTAGTCTATTCTGATGCCATCTTGATAAATTTCCCCAACAGTGTGAAGTTAGAATTCCTTCAGGGTGATGCCAGGTTCCATTTGGAATTTATATACAACCTGCTTGGGTGAAGAAGTCACTGTCTTCAGAAACCTTGGCGTAGTTGAGCTAATAGTTACTGTTGTGACCTGAAGTTCACCATTAAAAGGGATTACCCAAGCAAAACCATGGAATTACTGGTTATAAAAATGATTGTTGGCACATCCTATGCAATATATCTAAATTGAATAATGGTACGAGATAAAATTATAGATGGGAATGAAGCTTGTGTATCATCCAGGGTTATCATGTGTAATCAATAAACGATTTAATTCTCTTGGGAAAAAAAAGGCTCTCAGAACTCCTTTCTCTGTCTTTCCATTTTTCTCTGGCTACAGCACAGCTCACAGTGTCCTGGGGAAGTTTAGATGTTGATTTCCTGAGAAGCGGGTGGCCCATCTCAAAGCCTGTTTAAAACCCTCTTAATGTGGTTAAAAGTTCTGTGCTTGAAACAGGATTTGAAAAAAAAAAAAATCCATAAACTTTGGGAGGCACTGTTTGTTTATAAATCCACAGAATAGGCTGGGTGTGGTAGCTCACACCTGTAATCCCAGGACTTTGGGAGGCCGAGGTGGGTGATCACCTGTGGTCAGGTGTTCAAGACCAGCCTGGCCAACGTGGAGAAATCCTGTCTCTACCAAAAGGACAAAAAATTAGCCGGGTGTGGTGGTGAGCACTTGTAATCCCAGCTACTCAGGAGGCTGAGGCAGGAGAACTGCTTGAACCCAGGAGATGATGGTTGCGGTGAGCCGAGACCACGCCACCGTACTCCAACCTTGGGCATCAGAGTGAGACTCTGCCTCAAAAAAAAAAAAAAAAATCCACAGAATACAATAAATTTACTCTACCTGACATAGCCCACCCAAATGGAAGATCAAAATTTAAATGTTTTTCTTCTGAATTAGACTATATTTCTTTCTTATATAGTTTATTTGTAAGTATGCTGTTAAGAATTTTGAATTCTTAGCTGGGCTCAGTGGCTGATGCCTGTAATCCAGCACTTTGGGAGGCCAAAGTGGATGGATCACGAGGTCAGGAGAACAAGACCGTCCTGGCCAACATGGTGAAACCCCATCTCTACTAAAAATACAAAAATTAGTTGGGCATGGCAGTGTGTGCCTGTAATCCAAGCCACTTAGGAGCTGAGGCAGGAAAATCACTTGAACTCGGGAGGCAAAGGTTGAAGTGGGCCAAGATCGCACCACTGCACTCCAGCCTGGCAACTGAGCTAGACTCCCTCTCAAAAAAAAAATAAATAAATAAAAATAAAAATTGAATTCTTGTGAAGAACAACACATCAAAAAAGTGTTGTTTTTTTTTTGGCCAGGTGCGGTGGCTCATGCCTATAATCCCAGAATTTTGGGAGGCTGAGGCGGCGGATCACCTGAAGTCAGGAGTTTGAGATCAGCATGACCAAGAAAGCTCATCTCTACTAAAAATACAAAATTAGCCAGGCGTGGTGGTGCATGCCTGTAATCCCAGCTACTCTGGAGGCTGAGGCAGGAGAATCACTTGAACCTGGAAGGCAGAGGTTGCGGTGAGCCGAGATTGTGCCATTGCACTCCACCCTGGGCAACAAGAGCAAAACTCCATCTCAAACAAATAAACAAACAAAAAAAACTGTTTGTTTTTTTTTTTCTTGTGGCAGGGTCTCACTCCTGTTGCCCAGACTGAAGTATAGTGGCATGAGCTTGCTCACTGCAACCTCTACCTCCCAGGTTCCAGCAATTCTTGTGCCTCAGTCTCCTGAGTCGCTGGAATTACAGGCATGTGCCAGCACATCTGGCTAATTTTTATATTTTTAGTAGAGATAAGGTTTCGCTCTGTAGACCAGCCTGCTCTCGAACTCCTGGATTCAACTGATCCGCCCATCTCAGCCTCCGAAAGTGCTGGGACTAGAGCCACCATGCTTCACCTAAAAAAAAAAAAGTGGTATTCTCACGAACATAAACACACACACACACACACACACACACACACACACACACGAGCATAAAACACGTACTTCTAGTTCTAGCTCTGCTGCTCACAAATCGCTTCCTTTCAAAGTCTCAAGATCTGTGGTTCCATGAATAACCAATGTTTCTTATATAGTTATACATTAGTTTTTAAAACTATATGTATATATACATACACACGTACGCACACATGGTGCAGGGAGGGACCCAGACGATACTGCTACGAAGAAAACAGCAAAGCAAATACTAAGCATCTAGCACCCTCAAGTGGCCAACTGTGTCATTTCTCATTCTGATCTAAAACAACACTTACCACTTACCTTTCTAAAAGTCAAATTCTGGTTTGCCCAGAACTGTTGATTCCATTCTTGTGTTTCTTGTCTTAATTTTCTAAGCTTTTGCTCCAATGGTGATTCATCTTCAGGTATGTAAAAGTGAACGGGCCGAAGGTTTGAATGTTTATCTGGGGGTCCTATCCAATCATGGCAAGACTTTCTTGGAGGGCAGAATCTTGAGACCTTTAACAAAGTAAATGAGATTAACATATGACAAAATGAATCTCTAGTATAAAGTGTACAATCTGGATTGACTGACTGACTGACTGACTGACTGACTGATTCTGAGATGAAGTCTCACTCTGTCACCCAGGCTAGAGTACAGTGGCACAATCTCAGCTCACTGCAACCTCTGCCTCCCATGTCCAAGCAATTCTCCTGCCTCAGCCTCCTGAGTAGCTGGAACTACAGGCTCCCGCTACCACACCTGGCTAATTTTTCTTGTTTTTTATTTTTAGTAGAGACAAGGTTTCACCATGTTGGCCAGACCTCAGGTTATCCGCCTGCCTTGGCCTCCCAAAGTGCTGGGATTACAGGCATGAGCCGCTGTGCCAGGCTATTATTTTTGAGACAAAGTCTCATTCTGTCACCAGGCTGGAGTACAGTGGCACAATCCTGGGTCACTGCAACCTCTGACTCCCTGGGCGATTCTCCTCCCTCAGCCTCCCGAACAGCTGGGATTACAGGTACCCGCCCCCATGCCTGGCTAATTTTTGTATTTTTAGTAGAGATGGTGTTTCACCATGTTGGCCAGGATGGTCTCGATATTCTGAACTTATGATAAGCCTACCTCGGACTCCCAAAGTGCTGGGACTACAGGCCTGAGACACTGCGCCCAGCCCAATCTGGATTTATTAAAGTTCCTTGTTACCTTCCTCTTTTTTTATTTTTGAGAGAGTCTCGCTCTGTTGCCCAGGCTGGAGTGCAGTGGTATGACCTTGGCTGACTGCAACCTCCCCTCCCGGGTTTAAGCAATTCTCCGCCCCAGCCTCCGGAGTACCTGGGATTACAGCTGTGTGCCATCACACCCAGCCCAAAATTCTTTCTTTACTGCAATGCCATGGTCTCCGTGAATAGATTTTGTTCCTGCAATGTGCAGGAAGAATTGTCTGGCAGTTACACTGGGAGGACCCTGCTATTTGAGAACTGAAACTATGCTGTTCATCATCAGGATTAAAATACTGATTTAATGCTGGATCAATTTAGGAATCGTTTTTAGAAAGTCAAGGCAAGATCGCAATACAGACCTTCAACATTTTACCCACTAGTCTAAAAATTACATACAATCACCAAATTTCCCATTAAAAGAATAAGACTTACATTTCCGAGAATGTTTACTTGTATTATTTTTTCTTTACATTAACGGACTGGGAGAAGGTTGATGGGCTTCTCCTCCAGGCCTTTGCATCTGTGGTGTTTGGCTACTGGTAGAAACACGAAGTGAGTCCCACAAAAGGGACGCACTGTGGCCCACCCCCACAGACTGTGGCCCAGGACGGCGCTGCCTTCCCTCCTCCAAGCTGACCCAGGTGTCTGCAGCTCAGCAGGTTTCGTGCTAACAGTGCATGGCCACTGTCCAGGGCTGAGCCCACTCTTTTCCAATCACAGGTTTCCCAACAGGAAATGTTCAAGGAGCCACCTAACAATTAGCTGCTTTTTCTAGCTGCCCACACATCACAAACCAAGCTCAATGAGGTGTCGGGAGTGTTCAGTTACCTTTCCCTATTTATCTACTAGTTATTACTCACATAAACTGCTTTACCAATAAAGCAGGTGTGCCAATGTTTTCAAATCATTGTTTGCCATGATAATGTGAGTGATGTTATCTTCCTCTGCTCTTCCCTATAACTGAGGAGCTACTCTTCAAAAGGGTGGAGGAGCAGCTTGGGGGAGGAAAATGTCCTTTGGTAAGAGGGACAGTCCCTTTGTAGTGCGAATAATTACTATAATTGCTAGTTTCTACAGTACAGCCCATGATTCATGGTGTCCCATTGGCTGTGCTGGGGAGAGAAGGCTCTTCTATCCGACCCTGTGGTCTGTGGGGAGGGCACGCTAGACCCTCACAGTCTCCTGAGAAGCAGCCTCAGTTCTGCCCTCCTCACAGAGAGGCACGTGTGTATTCCTGCTGGTCAGGCCAAAACTGCGTCTTTGGGTCTGGGAGGGGAGTTACCCTTCCAGTTCTTGTCGAAATCTTTTTTCAGCCAGGCACGGTGGCTCACATCTGTAATCTCAGCACTTTGGGAGGCTGAGACAGGTGGATCATTTGAGGTTAGGAGTTTGAGACCAGCCTGGCCAACATGGTGAAATCTGTTTCTACTAAGAATACAAAAAATGAACCGGGCGTGGTAGCACAAATCTGTAATCCCAGCTACCAGGGAGGCTGAGGCACAGGAATTGCTTGAAGCCAGGAGGTTTTCAAGCTGAGATCGTGTCACTGCACTCTAGCCTGGGTGACAGAGTGAGACCCTGCCTCAAAAAAGAAAAAAGAAAAATCTCTTTTCTTAACTGTAAATTGGCAGGCTGGGCAGCCCCACAGTGGGCTTCTCCATGCTGGCTCTTTAGCCCCGTTTTATTAAGCTCCTGAATACTCTACCAGGAAGCACTCCCACCTTACATCCCTCCCTCCAGAAGCCAAGATTTGGAACGGGAGACACTGAGACATTTCCCCTGCACCCAAAGCTACCATGGGGAAACCACCAGGGAACAATGAAGAGAATATGTTGGCAAGTTTTTAGCATTCTTGCTTCTGGTTCTAACAACTCTCAGTTCTATAAAGGCTTTGAGTTCCCATCTGAGAAGGAGTCAGGAACTTCCATATTTACTTATGGTGAGGATCCCCAACCCCCTATTCTTTTTTTTGTTTGTTTTTTTTGAGATGGAGTGTCGCTCTATCACTCAGGCTGGAGTGCAGTGATGTGATCTCAGCTCACTGCAACCTCCGCCTCCCGGGTTCAAGCAGTTCCCTGCCTCAGTCTCCCAAGTAGCTAGGATTATAGGCACGTGACACTATACCTGGCTAATTTTTGTATTTTTAGTAGAGTCGGGGTTTTACCATGTTGGCCAGGCTGATTTCGAACTCCTGACCTCGTGATCCACCCACCTTGGACTCCCAAAGTGCTGGGATTACAGGTGTGAACCACCACACCTGGCCTCTAGCCCCCTTTCTATATAGATGCTAGACAAATCCGCAAACGAGATCCAGCAATATAAAAGAAGGATAATCTACCGGAAGGGCAAATACTAGAAAGTCAATGAAAATGGTCTCCTTATTTCAGAAGTCTAGCTCCGTCGTCCAGGCTGGAGTGCAGTGGCGTGATCACGGCTCACTGCAAACTCCACCTCACGGGTTCAAGTGATTCACCACCACACCCAGCTCATTTTTGTATTTTTAGTAAAGACAAGGTTTCACTGTGTTGACCAGGCTGGTCTCAAACTCCTGACCTCATGATCCACTCGCCTTGGCCTCCCAAAGTGCTGAGATTCCAAGTGTGAGCCACCGCGCCCGGCCCTATTTTTATTATCTTTAAGGCTCTAGTCAACAATCTCTTTCCCACCACCAACAGATATAAGGCCTGCACCTCAGTGTTATCTAAAGATGATTATTTGTGGTCTGGGCTTGGTGGTTCACACGTGTAATCCCAGCATCTTGGGAGGCCGAGGCAGGTGGATTGCTTGAGCTCAGGAGTTCGAGACCAGCTTGGACAACACAGTGAGACCCCATCTCTACAAAAAAAAAAAAAAACGTTGGCCGGGTGCAGTGGCTCACACCTGTAATCCTAGCACTTTGGGAGGCCAAGGTGAGCGGATCACCTGAGGTCAGGAATTCAAGACCAGCCTGGCTATCATGGTGAAACCCCATCTTTAAAAAAAAAAAAATTAGGCCGGGCGCGGTGGCTCAAGCCTGTAATCCCAGCACTTTGGGAGGCAGAGGCGGGTGGATCACGAGGTCAAGAGATCGAGACCATCCTGGTCAACATGGTGAAACCCTGTCTCTACTAAAAATACAAAAAATTAGCTGGGCATGGTGGCGTGTGCCTGTAATCCCAGCTACTCAGGAGGCTGAGGCAGGAGAATTGCCTGAACCCAGGAGGCGGAGGTTGCGGTGAGCCGAGATCGCGCCACTGCACGCCAGCCTGGGTAACAAGAGCGAAACTCCGTCTCAAAAAAAAAAAAAAAAATTAAATTAAAAAAAAAAAGTTTAATCAGCCAGGCGTGGTGGCATGTGCCTACAGCCCCAGCTACCAAAGAGGCTGACGCAGGAAGATTACCTGAGCCAGTAACGTTGAGCCTGTGGTGAGCTGCGTTTGTGCTACTGCACTCCAGTCTTGGCAACCGAGCAAGACCCTAGCTTCAAAAAAGGGAAAAGGATTGTTATTTGTGGGCTCATTCCAACCCTCCTCCTCTTAGAAGTTAGGTGCCCAGTGGGCAGGCCCAGGCTGGTGCTCCCTTTGCGTCCTCAGGAGACCCCGTCTGGAGCTGCAAACAATAAACTTCCGATGGATTCCCAAGAAGGTGGATTCAGCCTTTCTCTGTATACATCAATCTGTCTGTCCCTGCGCCACCATGCAAAGGCCGAGC